CTGGGGATATGTTTTAATTAGCTTTTTTGTCATTGTGACCAAAATGCCTGACAAGAACAACTTGGAGGAGGAAAAGTTTATTTGCGGCTCACTGTTTCAGAGGTCTCAGTCCATAGATGGTGACTCCATCATTCTGGGTCCAAGTTGAGGCAGCCCATTCATGGGGAGCTGACCATGGTGAGGACAATAGTCATAGGTGGCAGGTGAGGGAACTACTGCCACAGTTCAGGAATGATGGGGTGGTGGGGGCTAAGGGGTGAAGAAGGCCTTTAGGATGGGAGTGACAGAAAAGGGTTAGAGAAGAGTGAGGTGAGTAAAAGAAGCAGAGTTAAAAAAATTTTAAAGCAATGTCATCCTTAGATTTAAGTATGCTGTTTTATAAGTTTAATAGGTTAATATTTATAACTATAGAGTCTAGCACAATATATTTTGCATTTATTATTCAATATATTCAGTGGGGCTGCCTAAAAATTAATTGTCTCCTATGTTAATCACATTAAAACAAATACCACAACCAAGTTTTCCAATAAAATAAGCACATCCCTTAGATGTTGTTATGGTTTGGATGTGAGGTGCCCCCAACTTCTGTGTTAACACAGGAACATTCATAGGGGAAATGATTGGATTGTCAGGATTGTAACCTAATCAGTCCCTCCTCTTTGGACTAACTGGGTGAAAACTGAAGGCAGGTGGCACATGGCTGGAGGAGTTGGGTCACTGGGATCACGTCCTGGAAAGGTTCATTTTCTTTGCAGACCTTTCCCCTTTCTCTCTCTGCTTTCCAGCTGCTTTGAAAGGATCAGCACTCCTCTACCATGTCCTTTTGTCATGATGTCTTACCTCACTTTGGGCCCCAAAGAATGAAGTTGGCCCACCATGGACTGAACCTCTGAAACTGTATGCCAAAATCAACCTTTTCTCCTCTATGTTGTTCTTGTCAGGTATTTTAGTCACAGCAATGAAAAGCTGAATAACACAGATGTGGATGATTCATAAAACAGTCAATGCATAGCTACTAGTGAAGAGAATATTGACAGTATTGAACATTTGCAACTCTGAGTGATTAAATTTTTTATAGTTCTAGTTGTGCTTTCCTGTGTTTCTCTTTATATTAGCCCCCACAATCCATTAGTTTTACTTTTCACAGTTTCAGGTATTCACAATGTATATGCTATATACCTCTTAGTTGCTTAGTAGTCAACTGGTTATCAGATCCACTGTCTCACAATTTCTACAACATTCATCTGATTTATCAGTGGGCATTGTGTCATTTTGCATCATCACAAGAAGTGTGAGCACAATATTGTTTTAGTCAGCCTTCTTGATGTTGTGATTAAAAGACCCAACCAGCACAATTGTAGAGGAGGAAAAGTTTGAGAGCTCACTATTTCAGAGGTATACAGAAGGCTCCATTTCTCTGGCTGAATGTGAGGCAGGACATCATGGCTGGAGAGTGTAGTGGGGGGGAAGCAACTAACATCATGGTGATCAGGAAGCAGAGATAGAGATTGCACTCTCCAGATACAAATATATACCCCCAAACCATGCCCCAATTACCACCTCTTCTAGCTACACCCTACCACTTCAGTTAATCCCATCAGGGATTGATTTACTGATTAAGCTAAGGCTATAACCCAATCATTTCTCCTCCAAACCTTCTTGTATTGTTTCACACGTGAGCTTTGGGGAAACACCACATCTAACCCATAACAAATATAATTGGCTATTTTGAAGGAGATCTCATAACATTTATTACAACTTTTAATTGTTACTTAGTAGGCCCGAGGGCAGTGTCTGGGAAGAGGAACGCATGCATAAGAATGCACCATTTCCTGGGTTCCAAACTGTGCCGGGTTATTCTGCCTGGACACTAATGACGCTGCACCAGTTCTCATTCCCATTGCACGTGGGGTTTCTAGGGAAGCCAATCGGGGCCTCGCCCGCGTTTCCGACTGGAAAGTCTACAGAGATTGATTCTTCCTTAAATCCCACAGGTCGGGGTCATGGCTCCCCGAACCCTGTTTCTGCTGCTCTCGGGGGTGCTGACCCTTAGCGAGACCTGGGCAGGCAAGTGCAGCGTCGGGAGGAAAACCGCTTCCACGAGGAAGGAGCGAGGGGACCATCAGGCAGAGGCACAGGACCTGGAGTAGTTGCGTCCCGCCGCCACCGGCCCAGACCCTGCCTCATCCCAGCCACTCTCTATCCTTGTTCCTAGTCTCCCGCTTCCTCCTTTCCGTCTACGTCAGGGCCTTCCAGTCCCGCTGCCCCAGTTCGGTCACACAAGCCCCTAGCCTCATCCCAACCCCACGACCTGGACTCCTCATCCGGGGCCGGGAGGAGGGTCGCACCGGGACTCAGCCGCTTCCCTTCCCCAGGCTCCCACTCTCTGAGGTATTTCGACACCGCGGTGTCCCGGCCCGGCCTCCAGGAGCCCCGCTTCATCTCCGTGGGCTACGTGGACCACACGCAGTTCCTTCGCTTCCACAGCGACTCCGGGACGACGCCGAGGGCAGAGCCGCGGGTGCAGTGGATGAAGCAGTTGGGGCCGGATTATTGGGACCGGGAGACCAGGAAGGCTAAGGACGCTGCTCAGATTTACTGGGGCAGCTTGAACAACTTACGAGTTTACTACAACCAGAGCGAGGGAGGTGAGTGACCCCAGGCCCGGGTGGGACGTGACGGATCTTCACGGATGGGTCCAAGTAGCCCCGGGTACCCTGGTTAGAGGGTCACACCGAGGCTGCGGGACCCTCGGAGACCCTGGAACCAGGAAGTGTTAACTGGGTTTCGTTTTCAGTTTTAGTAAAAATCCTCGCGGGTTAGTCTGGGCGGGGGGCGGGGCCAGGCGGACTGGACTGCCCGCGGGGACGGGGCCAGGCTCTCACACCCTCCAGATCTCTTCTGGTTGCGACCTGGAGGCTGAAGGCCGCCTGCTCCGCGGGTACCGTCAGTCAGCCTACGACGGCACGGATTACATAGCCCTGAACGAGGACATGAGCTCCTGGACTGCAGCGAACTCGGTGGCTCAGGCCACCCAGCGCAAGTGGGAGGCGGCTGGTGCCTCCGAGCCATGGAGAGCCTACCTGGAGGGCCCTTGCGTGGAGTGGCTTGGCAAATACCTGGAGAACGGGAAGGAGACGTTGCTGCGCACAGGTGCAAGGGACCTCAGGGAACCTCCCCATCTGTCCTGGGATTGGGACCGACATCTCCCGCTGAGAAGAGGAAAATGGAATCGTCTCCAAAATACTGCCACTCTCTTTTGCTTTGGAACCCAGATAAGTGTTCCTGGGTTTTCATATCCAACACTAGATAGTAATTCGCTGGAGGGATCGCTCTGAGGACAATTAAGAATCTGTCTCAGAATGGAAGGAGAGAAGATCCCCAAAATAGCTGAGTAGCAGTCCTCTTTGACTCAGGCAGCAGATGTGAACCATGACCTGTTCCAGGTCTTGTTCGCTGCCCCAAACCCAAGGTCTTTGGAGGTCTGACTGCAGTTATTTTGAGTCTCTCAGTCTCCACTCAGTCAGGACGAGTAGTTCTTTTTCTTTCCCACAGAAATCTGGAGTCTTCTACCATGGGTTGGCTCACCCTGAGTCTAGAACAATGAATAGATCATCCCAGATAATCTGTGGCTGGGTTAGTGTCCGTTTAGTAAGGTCACATGAATAAGACTGGAATGGCCCACAAAGAATGCAAAATGGTTGAATTTTGAACGTTACCCTTCAGATCCCCCAAAGACATATATGACCCACCACCCCAGACCTGAAGGAATTGTCACTCTGAGGTGCTGGGCCATGGGCTTCTACCCGAAGGAGATCACCTTGATTTGGCAGAGGGATGGGGAAGATCACACCCAGGACATGGAACTTGTGGAGACCAGGCCTGCAGGGGATGGAACTTTCCAGAAGTGGGCAGCTGTTGTGGTGCCTGCTGGGGAGGAGCATAAGTACACATGCCATGTGCATCATGAGGGGCTGCCTGAGCCCCGCACCCTGAGATGGGGTAAGGAGGTGGGCACAGAGCCGCTTGTCAGTGAAAGCAGGAGCTGTTCTCTCTGCAGGATCAAGGGCCTGAACCTCCCTTGCCTTCTGTTTCCAGAGCCACGTCCTCAGCTCATCATCTGCGTTGTGGGAATCATTGCTGGCCTGGTTGTCCTTGGAGCTGTGGTTGCTATTGCAATTTGGTTGAAGATGAACCACAGAAGGGAAGAGGAGTGTGAGTTTTCTTGTTTTAAGCACTGCCTCACTAATAGGAAGCGAGACACACATACACACACACACACACACACACACACACACACGCTCATACGCTCATCTATCAGGGTCTCCTGATTCCCAGCAATTAGAGGTCAGGAGAATATTTCTGCTGAGGACAGATGTCATGTTGATTCAGACCCTGCACATCTCCTTTCCTTATGCCTCCTGATCTTTCTCTGTCTACAGCCACAGTTCAGTAAACTTCCCTGGAGTCCAGGTTTAGGGGATTCATTTAGACCCTCATGGCCCAGTCTCCTTCCTGGCCTCTCAAAGGTTGAAAAAGAGGGAGCTATGCTCAGACTCCAAGTAAGAATGCTGGAGGGGATGATCCTTGGGATTGTGCAGTCAGGAGCCCATGGGGCAGCTCACTCACTTATATCTTCTATGGGCTCTGCTATATTTGTGTTATAGTTTGGATTTGAAGTGTCTCTCAAAGGCTCATGTGTCAAAGGCTTGGTTCCCATTAGGGCTTTTGGGAAGTAATCAGATCAGGAGGGCTCTGATCCCATGAATGCTGATGGATTCACAACTGAATGGACTATTGAAGATGATGGATTATTGAGAGGTGATGGAAACTGTAGGAGTCAGGGTATAGGCAGAGGAAATAAGTCACTGAGGGTATGTCCTTGTCCCTAGTCTCTTCTTGCTCTCTCTGTTTCCTGGCTGCCATGAGATGAGTAGCTTCCTCCACCACATGCTCCTGCCATTATAATGTACTGTTTTTTAAAAAATATATTTTTTAGTGTAGTTGGACATAATACCTGTATTTTATTTATTTTTATGTGGTGCTGAGGATTGAACTCAGCGCTGTGCACATGCTAGGTGAGCGCTCTACCACTGAGCCACAACCCCAGCCCCTATGATGTACTGTTTTAACTTAGGCCCAGAAACAATGGAGCAGTGGATCATGGACTGAAACTTCTGTACCTGTGAGCCAAGATAAATATTTCCTCCTTTCAGTTTTCTCAGGTATTTTGTCATGGTGATGAAAAGCTGATTAATATTCTTTTTCTGCCCCAGGTAGTGACATTGCCCAGGGCTCTAACGTGTTTCTCATGGCTTGTAAAGGTGAGAACCTGGAGGACTGAAGTCAAAGAGGGGGTGGGGCAGAGAGGACAGGACTGGGTATAAGAACTTTCTGAATTTGGACCTTTTGATTGATTGATGGGTTGTTCAACATGTTGTTACATGAAACGACTGCCTGAATTTGTGCCTGATTCTTTTGTTCTGTAGCATGGGACAGCTGCCTGTGTGGGATTGAGCGACATAAGACTTGTTCAGGCCTCCTCTTTGTGACTTGAAGAACCTTGGATCTCTTTCTGCAGAGGTATCTAAATGTGCCCACATTCCTACTGGCATAATGTGAGGAGGTGGGGAGACCAGCACACTCCTTCCCACCAGGATTCCTTTTACCACACTGACCTGTGTTCTCTTTCACAATCAACCTTCTTATTCAGCAGGCAGGGCTAGGTTGTCTCCATCCCTGTCTCCACGTCATGGTGCCCTGAGCTACAGCTTTTTAACTTCTGTAGTAAAAATAAGACCTGAGCATAAATTTATTTTTTCAAATTATTTTTATTGATTTTTAATTTTATTTTTTGATTTTTAGTGCATTTATTTGTGCACAATAGTGGGATTCATTTTGACATATTCATAACTGTATCTAATGCAATTTTCTCCATTTCTATCTCCTTCTCTCCCATCCTCCCTCTCCACTGATCCTTTCTTTCTACTCTATTGGTTTTCCTTCTGTTTATTTGTTTTTTAATTGGTGCACTATAGTTATATATATATAATTGCAACACATTGTGATATATTCATACATGCGCATAGCATAATTTGTTAACTTTATTCCCCGATTTTTTCCCTTTCCCTCCCCGGATTCCTCTACTCAATCCCTTGTTTTACTCTATTGCTCTTTTGTATTTTTGTGAGATCTCCCCCACCAGCTTTTTTTCCCCTCTCTAGATTGTGCATATGAGAGAAAACATTTACTTTGACTTTCTAAGTCTGAGTCCTTGACTTTCTGAGTCTGGCTTATTTCCCTTGGCATGATGATCTTCAGTTCCACCAATTTACCAGCAAATGACATCATTTCATTGTTCTTTATGGCTGAGTGGAACTCATTGTGTAT